AAATTGGAAATTACTAACCATAGATAAACACCAAAACCTTAAGGACATAAATGAGCTTTTCATAGAAACTTTACACAACCTAAGTTTAGATCAAATCATTAAAAAGCCAACTAGATTTAACAACACATTAGATCTCTTCTTAACCAACAGACCTGGATTAGTAGTTGATTATGATATTATCCCTGGTCTATCAGACCATGAGATCATAAAAATACACAGTCAGATAAAAGCAGTAGCCAATACAAAACCCAAAACAAAAATCTTACTCTGGAATAAATGTAACCTAACACAACTACACCAAGCTGCATTAAACTTTCAACAAACATTCTTATTAGAAAAAGACATTAACCAACCAGTCGATGACCTCTGGAATTTCATCAAAAACCATCTTAAAAGCATTATAGAAAATCATATACCAATACTAAATACACATCAAACAAAATAAATAAATGCTGGTTTAATAATAGACTAAAGAAGCTTTGTAAACAGAAGGAAAACCCATAAAGAAAATTTAAAGAAACCAAGGCAGAAAGAGTTCACAAAAAGTATATAAAAATTAAACACTTAACCCAAAAAGTAAGCAGACAGCTGCAGAGTGAATACATAAACAATGTAATATCTAAAGATAACAACAAAAACCTATGGTCATACATTAAGTCTAAGAAAATGGAAACAACAGGCATAGCGCCATTAAAAGATGAACATAACATAATACATAATGATAATGAAACTAAAGCAAACATCCTAAACAAATACCTGCATCAGCATTCTCAGCCCCAGGAGACAAAGACATATTATTGAATTTGAACCAAGTAGACAACATAGAAGATATAGTAGTACAAGAAAATGGAATTCAAAAACTATTAGCCAACACCAAACCAAATAAAGCGTCTGGACCTGATGGTATTCCAGCTAGATTACTCAAAGAACTAAGCAATGAGCTAGCCCCAGTGTTCAAAATACTCTTTCAGGCTTCACTTAACCAGGGCAGAGTACCAAAGGACTGGAAAGAAGCTAATGTCACCCCCCTATTTAAAAAAGGAAAAAAATCTGACCCAGGAAACTACAGACCAGTATCACTTACCAGCATCACATGTAAAATCCTAGAACACATAATATGTAGCAACATCATAAACCACTTAGACAAACAAAATGTCCTCACACCATACCAACATGGCTTTAGGAAATATAGATCATGTGAAACACAACTAATAGAATTAATTGATGATTTTTCTAAAGGTTTAGATAATAGTGAACAAATAGATGCTATCTTACTAGATTTTTCTAAGGCTTTTGACAAAGTTCACCACCATAGTTTGCTTAAAAAATTTAAATATTTTGGCATTAATGGTCCACTGCATCAGTGGATTAAAGATTTTCTGATAGGGAGAGAACAAACTGTAATAATAAATGGCTCTAAATCAACACCGATAACAGTAAACTCAGGTGTACCTCAAGGAACAGTCTTGGGTCCACTACTATTTTTAATTTACATAAATGATTTACCAAATTGCATTACTTCAGGAACACAAGTCAGATTATTTGCAGACGATTGCATAATATATAGAACAATAAAAACAACACAAGACACAGATATTTTACAAAGAGAATTAGATGAATTACAGAAATGGGAATCAAATTGGAGCATGTCTTTCCACCCAGAAAAATGTCAGTTGTTAAGAGTAACAAAAAAACTAAAACAAATTAATTCCCCTTATCTTATTCATGGCAAACCAGTAACACAGACTAAAAACGCAAAATACCTAGGTGTTATAATAAATGAAAAACTGTCATGGAATCCACATATTGATGAAACTATAAAAAAATCAAACAAAGCATTAGGATTTATTAAAAGAAATTTCTATAAATCAAATAAGAACATAAAACTAAAATGTTATTTAACCTTGGTTAGGCCAATAATAGAATATGCATCCACCGTGTGGGACCCCTCAACTCAAGAAAACATTAAGAAACTGGAACAGACACAAAATAGAGCAGTGAGATTCATAACAAATGAATATTCACATTTGACTAGAGTAACACCTATAGTAAAATCACTAAATTTAGAAAGCCTTCAGGACAGAAGACTCAAAAGTAAAGTAGCAATTATACATAAAACACTGAACCATAATCTTCAAATACAAAAACAAAATTTAATAAAATACTCTGAAAGACACAAAGATAAAGGCACATTCCTCGTCCCATATGCTAGGAGAAATTTGTACAAATACTCCTTCTTCCCTAGTGCTATTAGAGCATGGAATGGGTTGCCTGAGCTAGTCAGGAAAACCAGTGACTTGGCAGAATTTAAGTCATTGGTTAATATGCATGACTAAATGCATGACGTGTAGGACGTAATCATCTTCTTTTTTGAAGTAACGTCTGTATTATATAAGATAAGATAAGAAGACATGAGTCACTATCAAAAGTCATTCTTCAAGGTACAGTTTAGGGAGCACAAACAAAGGGTCATCCAAAGAAAAGCTGGCTGGATAAGATAAAAGAATGGACTGGCCTCTCTCTTGATATCCTGGTAAGAACAGCTGCTGACCGGGAAAAATGGAATGATTTGGTTGCGCTGACTGTCACAGCACCCCTAATGCGAAAATCAAGGGACAGATGAGTTCAGAAGAGGAGTTAGAGGAGGGATTGAATACGAAGAATGTGACAGTCATAATGAGGATCATATTACCTGGCAAGACTTTTGGCTGTCAACACTAATGAATATAAAATAGAATCTGCATTCTGGGTGCACGAGGGTTTGTAGCCCCTTCCCTCCTGTGTTGCAATTTTAAAGCAAGCTGGAAGTAAAAAAACACTTAATTTCCAATGAGAATGAAAAAAGATATATGCACTATATAGAATACATTTAGAGGCTTATAACTAAGCTTAAGGGTATAAGAGAGGAAAAAAATCCATTTTGAATGTAACAATAATTCCAATGAAAATATATTTAATGTTAGAAGTATGAAAATTAAAATTAAAGTTGGAAAACTTTTTATCTTTTTCTAATATGAATTTTGTTTGTTTGTTTTGCTCTCTAGATTTCCTGTTCACAGAAGTACGCTTTGACATTTATAGTTTCTAAAACCTGGCATGGACAAAAAGTGCATTTAAAAAGCATCACTAGCTGTTGTTGTTTTTTTGTAAACAAACCAACATGGAAGACAATCAGCAACATGACACTTCAGGGGACGTTGAAAATACTGACAATGAAACAGTTGAGCTAACAAAAGGGCAAGAAAGTTTGACAGAAGAAAAACGGCCCCCTGGCTTTGAGAATATGCCTACAGGACTTCCACCAATAGATATACATGAGCTAGCCAAAGTTCTCAGGGATCCCAACATGCCATCGCAGAAAATTATGAACAAGGTTGCTGACCATATCATCAAAAAGGCTTCCCAAAAAGATAACAGTTCCACTGTTGGTGATGGGGCCTCAGAAGGGATGAAAAGTGTTGTGGATTGTATCATTGAGGTGTGTTTAAAACAAGATGATTCTGATGATTCCGATGAGGATGATGATTATTATGAGGATGAGAAGATCCTGCGTGAAATACCGTGTAAATTCTGTAATAAGATATTTAACAGCAGTATGACTTGCAAAACGCATGTCCTAGTAGCTCACCCTCAGCTGGATCCATCTGTCTTGAATATTAAGTATTTGTCGGAGAAGGATGTAAACAAGAAAAATTCGTCTCGAAGGAGATCGTCAAGATGTTCATCGAAAACAGAGGGTGATGTTAAGCAGCTGAATCTGGTTGATGCGCTTGCTCAGAATGAAAGCACGCAGCTCTCAGTGACCTCTCCAGAAACACCATTACCATGTCTTTCTGAATCAGTTCAGGGTGCTGCAGAAAGTACAGTCAGTGGTCAGCAGACAGGTTTGGGTTCGGAACCTGTTGCTGATCTAAAAGTTCCTGATACAATAGATACCTGTGATATCACCATCAGCGGCTCTTTGACAGAGTCTGGAGTTAGTTTGGAGACTACATATGGCAGCCCTAGTCATAGTGTGACAATGGACTGTGAACAAGGAGATAGCCAATTCCAGTCTAACTCACCACCCAAACATAAGATGCTAGAATCAGAAAACTATGCAGAGACAGCATCTAAGAAGTCCAGAGTCGAGTCAAACTTGGATGCCCCTCCATCATAAAACTATTTATATTAATTTATTTTTAAGTACATAGTTTGTTGTAATGTTCACTTCATGTCAAGACTATAGAGTTGTTAAATTATAGTTACTGACCTCAAGATGTTTTCAAACGGAGCACTTTTATGTAATAATGACATGCATAGTATTTATTTAATAATTATTTGTTTTATAATTTATAAACTGAAACCCATGTATGTAATTTTTTTTTCTTAATGCATTAACAAGTACAACTGTAAAAAGAAATGTTAAGTATTTTTTGTTAAAGGTTATTATGTTTAGATCATTGTTGGTGCTAGGCCTGTAGGTTTTTTGTTTTTAACACTGATAGGCATACCAATGCTGCTAAGGGGAATTAAAAGATTTAAATTGTAAATTAAAATTTAACATATATTTAAATTCTGTGCTTTTAGCGAATTTAAAGTATCTATCTACCTAAACAACTGTCTTAACTTGCATTCACAAATTTATTCATATTTTTCATATTCATAATTTCAATGTTCTCGCCATGTTTTTTGTATGTGTCCGTTGTGTCTATTATGTAAAGGCAATGATAGACAAACATTTTTAATGCAGGCAGAAAACTAAAAGGAACTATTTTGATAGGCCAGAGATTTTTGTTTAAATACAGTGAGAATGATATTTTTAAAATATTTAAATTTAAAAAAAAAAAAAAAATTTTTGAAGGTATAAATGTTTTGATAATAATAATGGCGATATTTTCAATTCCGGAGATTAAGGATGAGAAAAGTGATTACAGAAACCAAGTTGTGACCCACTGCTTATTTTGGCAACGCTGTTGTCTACTGTAGGTCTATTAAGTTGTCTTTTTGTCGGCAAGTGATTTTTTTTTTTTTTTTTTTTTTTTTAGTAATAGTTTAATATAAATTTGGTCCTAAGTTATTCTTAAAAAATGGACTGATACGTCAGTCGATTTCTGATACAGCTTTTATTTTCTTTGTTTTTTTTTAATGTTAATTTTTTTGCAACACTGCTTACAAACCTATGAAGATGAAAACTTTGCGTAAAGCATGAGCATGAGGAAAACCCTTGGAAATAATTTTTTTTTGTAGAGATTATTTGACTGCAGTTCAATCCGCTGGTGTACTTGTAGTACTTCAGAGTTCACATTAAAAAGTCCTACTGAAAATATCTAAATCTTTGTTTGTTCAAATCTTCTAAAGCTTTTTTTTTTGAAAACTTGTTTTAAACATGTCATACTGTTTCCTGAAATTATTTGTTATAATTTCTAAGCTTGCTTTCTTGAGGTGGGCATGGCGGCCGAGTGGATAAGCGCTTGGCTTCCGGACTTGGGTTCGAATCTTGGTGAAGACTTGGATTTTGAATTTTGGGATTTTCAGAGCCCACCAACTTAAAGGCGGTTGGTCGTTTTGCTGGCCACATGACACCCTGCTCGTTAACCATTGGCCAAAGTCAGATGACCTTAATATATCATCTGCCTTATAGACCGGGTGGTCTGTTAGGGGAACATTTTTCTTGCTTTCTTGAACAAAAACTTAGAATTTAATCCCATGAAATGAAACAAATCTTTTTGAGCTAAACCCTCAAAGAAATCAAGTTGTTTTAAAACTTGTTGACCCCAGATGTCATATCCATTAAATGAGGTTTACCTTGTTGTCTTAACATTTCATTTGTTCATGTGACAGAGAAGATTAATTTGCATTCAAAGTTTGAATTATCACATAGTTATGTTTTTAATTATGGTTATAAAATGTATATCAGGCCATAATGAACCTTGCATTGGGCCAGAGCTGGACCCATGCATTTGCAAATTATTATGATAGGAGATGTTTATTCTCCCACCTACGCTGTTGTGATGTGTACAAGCTGTAAGTCTGCACAAGGATTGGGATTGTGTCTAAGAATGTGAAGACATTGTGTTCTAAACAATGCAAATCATTTCTATTGTCATCACATTTGTGTTATCAAACTCACTGAATGAAACTCTGCTCCTGTCATTCTATTGATTGATGTCACTGAATGAAACTCTGCTCGTGTAATTCTATTGGTTGATTTGAGGTGTCCTAATGGAAGAAGGCAGTACAATTAATAGCACAAAACTTACACATAAACTCAACAACAGGCCTAATGTGCCATTGAAAGAAAAAAAAAAGGCTACAGTATAAAGTATGGCATGATTTTGGTTTCAAACATCCTACCTATTATTGTTTGTTGTTTTTTTTTTTTGTTTTTTGGTAGGGGGGGGGGGCACCCGGTTCTATTGTTTCTATGTTAATTCTTAGACTCCATTTCTTCTGGGGCAAATCTTGTTGTTGGGATACTGTAAATATGTCGATACAACATGAGACTCAGTTAATAGTGGCATACTTAATTTTCATCCATGAGTGTCATAAACTTAAAATATTGTATGCCAACTTTGAACGAAATCAATGAATCTTCTGACTTTGTAACCTTAAATGTGCATCATGTAGATTGAACCATTTTATTGACTTTATTTCATGACCTTAGGTGTTAATCTCCTTCTTCATAAGACAGTCAAAATTATTTATTGCAAATGTGACCAAAGTTTGTTTTTCTCCAAAATCTTCCTAGATCAGGGGCTCTCAACCTGTGGGTCGATTGACGATTTGCCAGGGGTCGCCAAAGACCATCGAAAAATTGGATTGTTATTGTCTATTCTTCTATTGCTGTGTGTGAGGGGGGGGGGGCGGGGTCGCGGCAGAGTGGGGGTTCTAAAAAGGGGTCACCGAGCTTAAAAGGTTGAGAACCGCTGGGCTAGATGGTATGAAGGTTTACAGGAATGAAGCCCAATTTAAGTCTGTATTTCTTTGATGTTGATGTTTTTTGTTTTGTTTTCTGTTGTTTGAGTTTTTCTCTAATGATTGTTATTTAATTTTGACCCACTAGTCAAATTTATTTGAATGACTATGTCGAGGGCTGTACAGTAAATAGGACTTAGCTCAGACTTTGTGATAGAGTCCATAACTCGGTAAGGGCGACCTTAGCAGTGCCACGGGATAATTTGTACGATGCGCTGATTGAGACAAATGATTCCCTTTATCACGCATCTCTTCCAGATGCGGGGACTGGGCGGTGCCCCTAAGGCAGCTCCTGAACTCAGACATCTGTTTATCCAGTGTTTTCTAAAAAACTCGTGTTGAGTTACTTTGAAGATTTGACTCGCACACTGGGGCATTGTTTTATATTTCCACAGCTGTCAGACACTTCTTCAATAACTAGGCTGTCTATTTCCCCTAGAAGCTTCTGATTTTCAGACAGGCTACATTTCATTACGATGTCAACAATGTCGAAGCTGACATAGTGCTCTGTGTGTGATCATACGTGGGGGCATTGTAACCTTCACACACCTCTACCAGAAATAAATTGTAGGCGTTGCTAATTTACGCACTGAGACAATGTCGTAATAAAAGTTGATTAGATGATGTCGTAAAAAAGATGATTAGAAGACGTAATAAAAATTGAGGAGACAACTTCTTGTACACCTTGCGTTATGCTAATAAGTTTACCGGTGGGCTACATACTGATACATTTACAATTTGGCAATGTCTGTACGCTGCGTCGCCCAATAGTGTAGGAGGGCCTCTATGCCATTTGACCAGAAAGTTAATTTTAAGACTGGTTTAGTTCTTAGATGTTTATACCAAAAGTCCATTGCAAAAACTAACATCTTCTTGAATTGTTATCACATGGGTAGACGCTAAGTCTTGATTCTTTACTTTTGAGTTATCACATGGGTAGACGCTAAGTCTGATTCTTTACTTGGACTGTATTATCACATTGGTAAAAGGGCCTAATGTCTGAATTTTTACTTGGACTGAGTTATCATATGATTCCAAAATGTCTGCCTTTTCATTCACGATTAGGCTTGAATGAAACGTTTTTTTAAAGAACTTTTGATGTTTTATGTGCGTGTGTGGGTATCTTATAGTTTCAATACACATTGGTTTGTATGTCACATAAATCATAAACCTCTAGCTCAGGGGTTCTCAACCTGTGGGTCGCGACCCCCTTGGGGGGTCGATTAACTATTTGCCAGGGGTCGCTTAAGACCATCGAAAATATGGATTGCTATTGTCTACTCTTCTGGTGCTGTATGTGTTTGTCGGGGGGGGGGGGGGTCGCGGCAGAGTGGGGGGATTGTAAAAGGGGGTCGCTGAGCTTAAAAGGTTGAGAACCGCTGCTCTAGCTGAAAACGAGGCATTACTTCAGAAATTCTGAGGCTCATATGTTTCACGAGGCTAAGGGAATAGTCCATAGAGCTGCCACTTGTGATGAATTACTTGCATTTTGTAGACTTTCATTAAATGTCAATACTGTTCACTTTACTTTTTTTTGTCTTGTTGTATTCCTAGACACATATGTATTATTGATCGATTTCCCTAACTGATGTCTAAACCTAAGTTTAAATGTTGTGTTGGCTAATATGAAATCTGAAAAAAAAACTCGGGTGTTTGTTTCCATGTACACAGCTATTACAATGTATTTTTTTTGAGCACAGAGCAGGAGTGACCGTTCTTGGTTCGTTCTCCCTTTTTTTTTTTTTTTTTTTTGTCTAAACCAATTATGACGTAACAGTTTGTTCATTCATATGTATCGCCGTGCTACTCTAGCAAAACCGGCGTATATTTTTTGTTCTGTTTTGTTTAGTGTGTTAAGTCTCGATTACTCTTGGCCACAGTCCTGACCACTGGGAGACCACTTTAGGATTTCACAAAGCTTGGCGTTGGCACCAACCCTTCACGGACTTTATCCGAGGTGCCTATCAGGTGCTACAAAATAGGAGTAATTATTTCCTTGTCCATCGTACCCCATGCATGTATTGGGAAAACCAAACAAAACACTTAGCATTGTGGTGATGTTCTTTTATCTTAAAACGTTCGTTTGTTATAAGGTGTTCGTTTGTTGGACAACTTGTTTTGGAGTGTAAGATTGTGACCAAGACTAATATTCATTCTATTTATAGACATGTAAAATATGCAGTGTCAGGGTTCATTTTTATTTTTCAGGTGTCAGAGAGTACACGGCGTAATGACGTCATTTGCTTGTATAAAAAAATCAGTCCCTTAGATCTGTCAAACATCGAGGTCGACATATTTTATTTTTTTCCTTACTTAAAGCACCAATCATTACAATAATTTAGTACTGCAAATGTGATTGATATTATTGTTATTCTATCTGTATGTACACATTACAGTGTTCAATTTATGGCTGTCATGTAAAACAACACGCCCCTGCGTGTCTTTGACAGCGTCATTGTTTTGGTTTTTGTCTGATCAGTATGTCATGACTAAATAAAAGATGTTTTGTAAGAGCAGACAGTGAATGTGTTTGACTTAATCAGTGGATTTGTTTGACTTAATCAGTGGATGTGTTTGACTTAATCAGTGGATGTGTTTGACTTGTGTGGGCTGAATGTCTGGAAACTTGGATTTAACCTTGTCGATATATTTTTACTAGCATTAGGCTTAATTATATCCTGGCGCCCCCCCCCCTCCTTTCCACAAAACAAAATAAAAACATCAAGAAAACGAGGTGAAAAAAAAGGGGGGGGGGGGCTAACTTAAAGCTTAGAATGCAGATCACGTGACCGACTTCCTTGCTACTGTTACTGTGGGATCTTAACATTTCATCGTGTATCTTTCCAGATTTCAATAAACAATTCTGATATTTTCAAAGCTTCTGTCCAGCACACACACACAGCAAAATAGCCAAAGCTCAAAGTAGGTTACTGCAAACTAGCAGTTTATATTAAACATTCGCAAACTTGCCGCTATTCTCTGTCAAAAGTACGATTTGATGATTCAGAGCTATAGACCTATAATTGAATCAACCGTTATTCATCATACTATTTCGTAGGCTGACAAATACTCCTGAGGGATCTAAGATGCTGAACAATCCAATTATGAAATCAGGTTTTCTTATAGTTTACATGCGCTGCTACAGGATAGACATTAGAACCATTCTTAGCAGAGTCAAATGCTGGACTTTTAGAAGGCATTGCTCTGATAACTAAGACTTCGGATTCCATAAGGGCCCAAGCTGGGCCAACCCCAACTAATACCACGGGAGTGATCAATAGCTCAAACGGGTGCCTCTAGAGGTGAGCTTGAAATAAAATCAAGAACACACACCCCTACACACACACACACACACACTTTTTTTATGGTTGATTTGAAATTATAAATATAGTCCAGTAATAGGAGATAAATGTTTTTTTTACATACTATGACATTTTGAATGACATCCTCTTAAGTAACGGCGTCAAGATGTTTGTAAAATGTTTTGTTTTACATGTTTCGGATGTTCCTTCAGAGTTGAAGATAGTTTACTTCCTAGTCCAAACCTCCCGCAGGACGACGGGGTATGGGAGCGGGCAGGATTTGAACCCTCGACCATCGATAAATCTGAACGACAGTCCAGCGCGCAAACTGCACGACGAGGCAGATGAGACGTTATGAGTGACAAATTAAGTACAGAAAGGTCACACAAAGTCTGAAAGTAGGCCTAGATCATCGGGGCTTCTCAAAGTGTAGTCTGAAGTGCCATCTCACTAGTCATACGGGTGTCTGTATTGCTGAAGAGGAATTGGGAGAAGAAATGCTTAGAAGCACTGATCTACAACGCACTGTACAAGCAGTTAAAAAAACAAACAACTGCTCATGACATATTACATTGCGCAGGGATAAGACACGGGAAGCATGACCTCAGACTCGAAAGTTAACACTGCGCAGTGCCTGATGGGATGCGAGCTAATGAAAAGTGCGGCGTTTCGAGTCAAATGAAAGAACGCACAGCTTTCGGTGCTGATGTATCAATGCGCCTGCTGTGTTGATATGTGTGCATGTGTTACACTCTGTGACACTCGGTGTGTGTGTGTGTTGATGTAATTATACCGCTCTACAGCTGAGTGGATATGATAGGTTTGGACTTTTATAGTACAATTCTTGATTCTCATTCTGTCTGGGCCAGCCCCTTTGTAAAGGACTATCATTAAAATGATGACATATATCTGTGTGTGCAGGGAATGAAGAGGTAGTTTATTGAAAACCTGTCGGTATAATCTCGTAATTAAGTTTTCAAAAGAAAGTTTCTTTGGATACTTATTATTACTAGTTGTTAGTTAGTTGTTTTTTTGCTATAACCATTGAAAATGCCAATGAAAAGATTGCACTATATTTCTTCAATAGCCAACAGGGCTTTAAAAAGAACATTAGCATTGTTTGCGAAAAGCTGACAAGTGTCAGTAGCTTTAAATATCTTGGAGCTATTGTTTCAAATGAAGGAACCAAACCTGAACTACAGTCTACAGCAGCACTTGCAAAATTCAAAACAATCTGGACCGACAAAGGCATAGCCCTCGACACTAAAATCAGACTTATATACTTATATTCATGTGAATCTTGGACGCTGACTGCAGATCTCGAGAAGAGGATCCTAGCAATGGAACTAAGATGCTACAGAAAGATCTTAGATCTTATAGCCAGAAATATCTTAAAATACTCTGAAAGACACAAAGATAAAGCCACATTCCTCGTCCCATATGCTAGGACAAATTTGTACATATACTCCTTCTTCCCTAGTGCTATTTGAGCATGGAATGGGTTGCCTGAGCCAACCAGGAAAACCAGTGACTTGCCAGAATTTAAGTCATTGGTTAATATGCATGACTAAATGCATGACGCGTAGGACATAATCATCTTCTTTTTTGAAGTAACGTCTGTATTATATAAGATAAGATTAGGTGTCCCTTACAAAGACCGCATGGCCGAATGAAGAGACAAGAAACAGGATTAATGCAACAATTGGACCCCCATGATGACCTGCTAACCATTGTCAAAAAATGTAAATTCAAAATCTATGGCCACATCACAAGGTCGTCATGGCTCGCAAAGACCTTTCTTCAGGGAACAGTACCAGGAAGAAGAAGAAAAGGAGAGAGAATTAAAGCGATGTGAAGACAATATCAAAGAATGGACAGGCCTGCCAGTGAATGAAATTCTATCCAATGCAAAGGACATAGAGGACTGGAGAAAGATGGTTGAATTTTCTTGTGTGGTGCCCCAACGATCCAACAGACTAACTGATAGGTGAAGGTGATTTCTTCATGGGATATTCACAGTTTAAGACGATGTTTAGCTCTTTTTTATTTCGCCACTTTTTTGTTTACTAGACTCAATGTCTCGTAGATACCGGTAGTTAATATCTGTTTATACTAACAGCAATGAGAATCAAGTAGTCCACACAAGCCATATACGTGTGATCAAGTTGTCATCTTGTCAGTGCAGGGCCGGATTTAACCAGTGCTGACAGTGCAGCCGCTTCACAATCAAGAGAGGGGGGGGGGGGGGGGAACTTTACAAACTAAAAAAAAATCAATATGACTTCTGTGGACCTTGTTGATCGTCCAAGGTCGGCTCTTCGAACACTAAGTTTGAAAAAAAAACACCCTGTTTGGACGCCAAACAGTAAAAAAAAACAACCTGTGAGAACACAGTTCTGTTTGAGAGAGACCCGACTCAATGCCTAAGTAAAGCATTGCTGTTTCCAATGCCTTTGGCCCCCGACGCATGCTTGGCTGCACATAGCTGAAGGCCGAGGACACCGGGAGCCTCCGCCATTTTCCTTCGTTATACCAAGCTAACCGCTGGGGGACTCGCCATTTATGTAACTGTCCCTTTGAGGAACAGCGCATGTATGTGTGACAGGTTTGTGGGGACTTTTTTGCAAATCCGCCCGTGCAAGAGGTGGACTCTCGTCTACCCGTGGGCATCCTCACGGGAGTTATGTTTAGTCATTTAGCCTAGCTTCCCCCTGAAGTAGCCGTTTCCACCCGGGTGCCACGGTGAGGCAGAACAGCGTACCCGGGCTTCTGTGGACCACAACATCCAATAGTACGCCCAATTTGAGAGTCATCGAGCTAACGGCTGGAGAGGACAGTGACGTAATCAAGTACTATGGCCTCTATATGTGTTATTGTTTTGACCTTGTGTGGGCGTTACCAGTAGCCAGACCGGCTACAGTACTTCACTGCAATACACCCTGCCTATAAGACTACCACCTTTCAGCTTTCTATGAGAATCACTGATCTGATAGCATGTAGCACATGTAC